AAGAAGCCTGAGACTAGTCTACAGAAAATGCTTCAGTCCTGGTTCAACAAATGTATACCTAATGTGGACTGTTCAGTGAAAAGGATCCTAAAAGATGGGCGTGTTGTGATAAACATTAAACCAGCTCCAGGTGTAAACTCCTACATAATCATCTGATTACTCTCTTACCTTTATAACTTCTCCCAAAAAAAGCATTTATTTTTATTTCATTCTGCATATTTATATTGGTTTCAAAAAAGAATCAATTTTGTCTCTGTCTTTTAAGCCCTGACTGAGCTTCAGAAACTGAATAAACAAACACTAACTGGGAAGGATGGAGATTTAGTCACCATAACATCCATCAGTCTGACACTGCCATCTCCAGAGCTTGATGCACAAGTACCAGAGGATGCTTCAATGAACCCTTCTGCATCTGTGCCAGATCCACAAACTGTATGTAACATGTAGTAAATTATTAAAAACCAATATAAATGAATTCTGTTAAAGTAAATGATGTACTGTATTTGTAGGATCAGGTTCAACTGGGAAAGCAAAGTAAAGCAGTTTCAGCAGGTGGAGAACAGACAGGTGCTTCAGAGGATGCTTTGACAAACCATCGTACATTTGTGCCGGCTCCACAAACTGTATGTACTGTGTAGTAAATCATTAAAAATACACACACGTTGTTGTTGTTGCTGTTGTTGCTGTTGTTGCTCATTTGTTTATTTGTTTATACCAGGACCAAGTTCAGCTGGGGAAACAGAGTAGCACAGTTTCTGCAGGTGAAGAGATTTGCACTTGTTCTGTCCCAGTGGGTCATTTCTGGTATGTGAACCACATGTACGAAGAGGAAATGCAACATATAGAAAAAAAGAATGGGGTTAAAATCATGGCAGATGTGAAGGTGAGATTTGAAGTAGATGGAAAACATGGGAGCCCAGGCAATGCTCTCGATGAGTTTGCAAACCTTGTCCAAAAAAGCTTAGTTGAATCCAGTGGCTCAGTTATTCCTCTCAAGTTCATAGATTCAGATCAGTGGGGTGATGCACTGAAAACCATTCAGAAAAAAGAAAACAAGCTTTTGGTTACTCTGACTTCTGAAACAATGACTGTACGTGGGCCAACACAAAGTCAAGAGGCCATCAAAAAGTTCTTAAATGCAGATACAGAACAGAAAAGAAACACAGATGCTTCTCATGAAGAGAATAAAAGAGAGACTCAAGACACATCACTGAAGATTGACATGACCACCAAAGACCATCTGATGCATATGGGACTAACGATGGAGGAGAGCTACTGGAAGGTGATGATTACCTCTTGCAGTGATAAGGTAGCAAAGATCAAAGCTAAGTTTAATGTGGAACTGAAAGAATCAGACATTGGTCAAGGCAAAGTCAATGTCAAAGCCTTATACAAGAAAGATGAAGGAAATGCCTCCATGGAGAGCCACGCTATGAGAGAGCTTTTTCATTTATATCAGAAAACTGCCACATCTCCCATGAATGTCTCCCAGTCCAGTGCTGCTGCTGGAATATGGGGTTGGTCATGGCCATGGTAGCAATCTCAGTCTAGTGTTAAACTCTTGTGTTATTTGCATGCTTACAGTGGAATTTGTATATATTTCATAATGCTACCATGTAGCTTTGTATTGTGCCTTCTGAAACCTTTGTTCAACCCAATCTCTAAATTCCACCATGTTTGCTGAAACATGGCAACAAGAAATAAAAAGGGGTTTTTTTTGCATGTTGGCATTTGTGTGTAACAACTTTCCTTTTATCTTGTGCATCTTCCTACATTTTAAGGCAACCTCCTATACTCAGTGTTGGGAAGGTTACTTTTAAAATGTTTTCCACTACAGATTACAGAATACATGCCCCAAAATGTATTTT